AAGTATGAAACTTCAAAATTGCATATCTCAGGAACGAAGAGAGAGTGCCACAAATTTCAAACGGTGTATTACTTAGAAATGTATCCTCTACAACATATGTGAAAATAAAAATTTTTCGAGCTGTGTGACGTAAAGTAAACATTTACCAAGATAGCTAGCCCTGAGATGTTGTTTTCTCTCGGCTCATCTACAAGCTATAGAGGAACTATAGAGCTATAGAGAATGGTGCATGTGTAGATACGCGTGCATAAATACACCACACATACGCACACACACAGATTGTTACACTCATCGTGTGCAGCAATCAGCTGATCGCGTCGCGCGCCCCACATGATCACCTGTATCGGACGGTGAGTTGCACCGTCCCTGTCTACCTCTTGTACTCGTTCCGTAATTCGAAAACTATTTTTTTTAATAATTTAAAAACTAAGCCTCGTAGAAAATTTTGGTAAAGGGAAAATCGTCTTAAAATTCATTCAAGAATTTGATATTTTAAAGACGCACACTTGTTCTGAATCACCCTGTAAATCAGTACGATGTAAATAAACCTCATATACAATGTTCTTTTTTATCAGTTTATAATATCTCTAAAAAGCGTTAAAATTGTTAAATTTTAACTTGTTATATCTTCTAAACTAATGTTGTTCCTCACTTTTTTTTATTTAGGACAACCTCCTCTATAACATATCCAAGCAGCAATAAAGTCGATGCTGTGTGACCTTTTATGCACTTTTACTCCGAATCTAAAAGAGAAAAATTTATAATTTGTAAAATTTATGATTTTGTACTATACTGAATCCATCATCTTATATTTTTTGAAATCGAAAATTTTGAGATCAGAGATTCAGCGAATGAAAACGGATTTGCAAAAATTTTGGATACAAAGAAAAATATATAGCTGAAAGGGTTAAAATGCATGTAATATCTTATATCTCCTTCGAAATAACTACGCCCCCTTTTTTGATTTGTTATATAATTTATATACAGGGTGGGCCATTTTAAGTGATCCACTCAAATATTTCGAAAAATAATGAAAAATCAAAAAAATGTTTCAGATAAAAGTTGTATGGCTTGAAGGAGGCCATCAGATAGTGGCAATGATTTGACCTTGGAGAGTCATTTAAAGATGACGTAAAGGTAACCTTCAATTTCTTAAATGGAACTCCCTATTTTAAAATAATAAGAGAAATCAATTGGTGTAAAAAAAACACATAGTTGTTTCAAAGAAAAAATATGTATTGTTAATTGCAAATTACATATTTTTTCTTAAAAATAACTATGTGTTTTCTTTACACCAATTGATTCCTCTCATTATTTTGTACATAAAAGTATTAAAGCAAGATAATCGAAAAATGAATATTTTACTAGATATTTTACGGTTTATACAAAATTAAGAAATGATTTCAAGCCTCATAACTCGAAAAGTACTCAATGAAAAAATACTTTATTATAGTGTTTTGGAAAGCTCTCGAGATAAGCTACACGAATATGTAATAAAAAATAGGGAGTTCCATTTAAGAAATTGAAGGTTACCTTTACGTCATCTTCAAATAACTCTCCAAGGTCAAATCATTGCCACTATCTGATGGCCCCCTTCAAGCCATACAACTTTTATCTGAAACATTTTTTTGATTTTTCATTATTTTCCGAAATATTTGAGTGGATCACTTAAAATGGCCCACCCTGTATACAGGGTGGGGAAAAAGTATGGAAGCAAACAATTATTTCCGAAACTATTCATTTTTCGACAAAATGTCTTAGACATAATTTTTATGGTATGAAAAGATGTATTATGTGGCATAGACGGCATGACCTTGAAATGACCCTTACGAGCTGCATACAAATAACGTAAAAAGTTTCAAATGGAACTCGTCAGTTTTTGTTACAGATTCTTGTAGCTAATGTCGAAACGTTTACAAAACACTGCATATGAGCCCCATTCCCTTAAAAACACTCCCAGTTACGAAACAATTGTGATAATTCGTATCGACGAAATTGAAAATAGACAGCGTACGTGTGATTACATGAATGTGTGTAACGCGATTGAACGTCATTATGAGAGATCAGTACAACAGTAGCGATTACTGCAACAAATGGAGAATAACCCGCTTCGATCATTTCTGCCGATACGAAAGACACGCGAAGTTCGTAGAATCAGTTAAGGCGTACATCGAACCGTACTCAAGGAAAGAGATTGCGTGATTCATCCAACCAGTTAAGGTAAGATAAGTGCGATTCATCCAACTAGTTAAGGTAAGATAAGTACGATTCATCCAACCAGTTAAGGCAAGATAAATGCGATTCATCCAACCAGTTAAGACAAGATAAGTGCGATTCATCCAACCAGTTAAGGCAAGATAAGTGCGATTCATCCAACCAGTTAAGGTAAGATAAGTGCGATTCATCCAACCAGTTAAGGTAAGATAAGTGCGATTCATCCAACCAGTTAAGACAAGATAAGTGCGATTCATCCAACCAGTTAAGGTAAGATAAGTGCGATTCATCCAACCTCAGTAAGCAATGTCAATGTGCATACAAATTGTTTGTATCACAATTGTTTCGTAACTGGGAGTGTTTTTAAGGGAATGGGGCTCATATGCAGTGTTTTGTAAACGTTTCGACATCAGCTACAAGAATCTGTAACAAAAACTGACGAGTTCCATTTGAAACTTTTTACGTTATTTGTATGCAGCTCGTAAGGGTCATTTCAAGGTCATGCCGTTTATGCCACATAATACATCTTTTCATACCATAAAAATTATGTCTAAGACATTTTGCCGAAAAATGAATAGTTTCGGAAATAATTGTTTGCTTCCATACTTTTTCCCCACCCTGTATATATTTTTGTATATTGTTTTTTTTATAGAAAAAGCCATATAATTGATTGAGAATATAATTGATTATTCTGTATATTTCTAAAAGACAATGAGTAAAGTAACATGATTTTGACCGTGATGATGGAATCTTTCTTATTCATGTTTTCTTATATTTTTTTATGTCATTAAATCATTATCAAATGTTAATTTCATCATGATATGATGAAAAAATAGCATTAAAGTAGCAGATTTGTAGAAATGTGTAGAAACAAAAATTCAATAATATATTCCTTCTTTTTTACTACTTTCCCTCCTCTCTCCCTCTCTCTCACCCCTCTCCCTCCCCCCTCCCCCTCCCCTCTCTCCCTCCCTCCCCCCTTCTCTCTCTCTCTCTCTCTCTCTCTCTCTCGCTCGCTCGCTCGCCCTATTAATCCTTCTCTCACTTCATATAATTTCCTACAACTTTTTAAAAAATTATATAAAATCTAAACTAAATAACAAAAGAAAGTAAAAGTACTCTTAAAATATAAAAGAAAAGTTTCGAATCAAATTATTTGTTTAAATTTTATAAAAGGTGATGCGACCTTGAGAACACCAAAACCCTTTTTGAAAAAAATTTTAAATGCGTGTAGTACTCGACCAAAGAAGTTTTTGAAGAAAATGAGAGGACGCAACGCTTAGCTGTTTTTGAAAAAAGTGAAAAATATAAATAATTTAATACGAAAAATATTCGGTACATAATTTTTAAACTCATTGTCAACTTCGCTGCTGCTCCAACCGTAACTTGTATACCTGTTTTCATCAGACAACAATTTTATCAGGTAACAATTTTACATTAAATTATAATTATATTTAAATAGTAGCGTAATTATTTAATATATTTTTTTGGTTAATATCGAGTAGAATATATAGAATTGTAAGATTTTATGAAATTGAAATATAAATTAACGACATATCGTAAATAAAATTTAAATTGCCTTTCGTAATGGAAAATAAAAACAAAAAAATAAAATTATTTATTAAATTTACTTCATTTTATAAAAATATTGTAGGTTTCGCGTAAAAAAAAATAAAAAAAAATGAAAAAAGAAACTATCACAAGTCGGAATCGAATCTGTGATTAGCAATGTAGTAGAATCGGGCTTTATCACCCGAGCTATGCCGCCTGCTTGACGATCAATCTAAACTTACCGGTATACAAGATACGGCATATTTTTTACTTTTTTCAAAAACGGCTAAGCGTTGCGTCCTCTCACTTTCCTCAAAAACTTCTTTGGTTGAGTACTACACGCACTTAAAATTTTTTTCAAATCGGTATTCCCAAGATCGCGTCATCCCCTCGTTAGATGTAAAATATATAGAAGTAAATAAAACTTAATTATATAAAAAAAATAAAATTAAAAATGTTTTATTTAAAGTATCAAAAATCAGATATTTACATTTAGTTAGGATTTTTAAACTTTCAATAAAATAATACAATATAAAGAAAAATATTTTTTGTCATTATCATGAGAATTAATTAGTTCGGAAATTGTTTTACAGTTATAATAGGTTTCAAAATTAATCATTTAAATACAAAGAGAAAATATATTCAGATATTTTCATAAATCTGCGCAATTTATTATTATATGTATGAGAATAGGATAAAAAGATTGTGTTCATATACAAAAACGCGAACGCAAGAAGATATTCATATCATTTTGACACAATTCATCATATAAAATTAAATGTAAATTTCATGTCACTCTGATAAATAGTCTATTTTCCAACAGTATCATAAATAAATACTTGAATTAAAAAATTGAAAAAATAAAAAATTTTAAAAATCATTAAATTCTTCAAAAAAATTGAAAACTTAACTCCGTAAAAAAGAAAATAGAATTTTGAAGAAAATTAAAAGAAATTTATGATGATATATAAATTATATTAGAAATTATCCATCATATACTATAGTTTATGAATAAATTAATAAATTTAAACAAAGCAAAAATAACTTAAAAGTCGATCTTGACGAAAATCACTATTGCGATAATATAAATAAGTTGAATTATCATTAATCAAAGTAACAAATTAAATTAAGAAGAAATTATGTTGAAAAATAAAAATAAACCAATTGTTTTTTGTATTTTAAGCCATGAACTTTTCATCCTATCCTTATACAAATATTATTAAAATATTACATACCTAAATGTAATGTAATTAAAGCTTGGGCAAGAACCATCTGACCGCATCTTAACATACAGCCCCAACCTTTGTCAGATGTAAATGTGGAGTTACAACCACCGATGGGAATAAAACCTTTGCGATAAGTAAACCATAGCATGGATCGGATGTCTCTACGTATCATATCGAGCTCTAAAATTTAATATCTTACAAAAATCCACTTCAGCGAAAACATATACATTGATCATTTATTAGACCTTTTAAAGCATTGTATTTCTTGCCAAGAATCCAAATAGGTTCATCTGTTTGCGGTATGTCCTCTGTTTCGTCGAGAACATTTTGAGTAAATAGACTATCCATTATTACTGTCCTCACTGTTAATACCTATAAAATAACAAATACACTGATTTAAAATAAATTTTTGCATTCCTTTTTTCAGATTTAATTAAAAAAAAAACAGATTGTACACAATAAAAGAATTAAAGCCAATGTGCGATAATCAGAGCGGAAAAAAGAAGAGAAAATACATTTTTTTTTCTTTTATTTATTAGTATATTTCAAAATATTTTCTTTCGCTACAATATACATTAAACATGGACCATTTTTTTTATCTATTTTCAGTGTAACATTAATACTGAGCGTTAGAAAATATCAGACATAATAACTTATGAAATTATATTAATCATTTCGCAATTGACGTGCAGATTAGACTATAATATTGGATTAGACAATATTTCACAATAATTTGACGAAGACATTTTCCCAAACAATTCCAATCATTATACCAATGCTATTATATTATTATAGTATTCTAACATAATAAGTCTCAATACATCCATATGTTTGAGTAAATGATGAGGATTATAGAAAATTATTAAATGGAAATCCAATTTTAGACATAATCAGGAAGACACCAGATTTTGCGCTTTTAAACAAATTGATTAGTGACAATACGGAATGTTATACTGCTGCACATAGATGCTATGCATCCTATGATGATTTCAGATGTAATAATGATAAATATAATCTTATCCTGGGTCTTTGGATTATGAACACAAAAATAACAGAGGAAAGAAGAAAAACAACATAATATGTTTGCTAAGTTATCTAATAATGTTCCAAAGACATGGTGCAAGCTTTCTATATCACTTTGCAGATTCAGATCATTTTTCTTAATAAACAAAATCTCGGAGACAAACTTTTTCTAAGAGAAAATTCCTTGTCTAAAATCTTATACACTTTCTAATTAAATTCATAATCAAATTCAAGTCTATAATTCGTTATGAGAAAATAAAGTATTTCTATGCAGTTCTAGTGTCCGGAAATTCACTTTTTTAGTTGCCTACGAATTTGCCACCGACATAAAATACCTCACAATCCTTGCACAAGATATTATATATCACACAGAAGAAATTATCTAATAGATATCTAATAAATATCTAAATGTCTATATGAAGTCCATGTTCTCTATAGATAATTAATAGATATCTAATAGATATACAAAATATCTATATCTCCCGTATTAAAACAGGGATATTATTACTGGATGTGTATCATATATCCATATCCATCAAGTAATTAGCCAAAGATATTCGTTAGATATACACATGTTATCCATGTATTCGTTAGATATACACATGTTATCCATGTATCTTATACACAAAAAACTTATACACAAAAAAAACGGGCTACTAAATAGCATAATTTTTTACAACATCTTTCAATAACGATCAGCAAAAAATCATATTGAAATAAAACAAAGCTCAAATTAAAGCTTGAATATTTCTCTTAAAAATCAAATTCGAGTTACAAAAAATGTTTTACAAAATGACAGACGTCAAAAATAGAGAAATTGGAAACAAATTTTTTTTTAACTATTGCATTGCTTAGGAGAATTGAAATTCCGGTACAAAAATATATGAGTTTTTAAGCTCATTTATTTCCTAACAAATCCATATTTTAATCAATTTTTCACTTCTTTTTTTTTTGATAAAATTTTGAAGAAAATGTTACAAAACAGACAAAAGGCAATACGTACTACTAAACATCTACACATACACACAAACACACGACGCACGCGCACACACAGATGGGATTAGATTCCTGCCACGTCCACGCCGTTGATTCTGAATAACGCCAAAAGCATAACATACATATATATATGTACACGCAAGCATTCACACAAGATTTAAATTTGACCATTTATCTTTATGTGGAGCATCTTGAGTCGAGTTACACTTTAAGATTGTGAAAAACTTTTTGAATTGATTCAAAAAGCTTGAGATGTAAAATATCGTAAAATATGAAGGGAATTGATCCAAATAACTGTTCTGCTTGGTCACTAATTTTGTTTGATTCTTGTAAATAACGAGTTCAGAATTCTCGTGTAACGTTGAAAATGTAAGACAAAGGATAATTGGTAAATATTTACCTTTATACAGCCAGCTACAACCTTTATACAACCAAATAACTTGACCTTGACATATATTGTCAAGGTCACTGCTCTAAGTAACATCCAAAAGGCTTAAGACGTCGCTTGTTTATTAAAAAGTTATAAACAAAAGAAGTTTTATAAACTTCATAGAATTTTTGGACACCATGTACAATAATAGACTTTTCAGGTAAATATGGAGAAAAGGTTAAAATACTTTTATGTCATCTTTTTATTATATCCTATTTATGTGTTTATATTTTTTGTTTACATTTGCTCATCACGGTTTCATATTATATTTTACTTGTGTGTTTATATTTTTTTGTTTACGTTTGCTCGTTGTTCCTTCCATGTTGCTAAGCTATAGAATTATTATTTAGTTTCGCTAAATAAAAATTGTACTTTTCATTTTACCTAAACTTTTAATAAGTGTTTGTATATAACTTCTTGCATTTTTACATAACATATTATTTATAATGTTATCTCTAAGACAAATAATCATATCACCAATAGCTTTGAATAATTAATTAAAAAATTATCAGGTGTACAAGATTTGGATGATCATTTTAAATTACTATCGTTGGATGTTATTTCTTTCTTTACGAAAGACTAAAGAACCCATTAAGACTAGCATTGAATAGTGTTTTACAAAAAAAAATACAATATTTCTCACAAGTTTTTGACAATGAATCAATTCATACTACATACCACTTTCTTTATTTTTAACGAAAAAATATATCAACAAACATTCGTTGCTTTCTTGAGCTCTCTTCTATCTCTCGTTTTTGAGAATATTATTCTGCAAGATTTAGAAAATAAAACAATTAGATACACTCCTTTCAATTTATTATAGATATATGGATGATATAGCTTTGACAATTCCTTCTTCCATCTACAATGAAGTCTTAAATATCTTCTATCTCTTTTCAATCAAGGCTTCAATTTATAATCGAGGAAGAAGACAATAAACTTAAAAAACTTAAATTTTCCTTGATGTTATGATAATCGTGAATAATAATTTACTAGAATTCGATCGAGTATCATAAGTCCATTTTTTTCTAGGAACTATGTAAATTATAAAATTATTATCTATTGTACCATAAGAGAGGAACAATTATTGAATTGATAGATCATTTTATTGCCACATCCGAGATTCTATTTAAAAACCTTCAAATTGATAATCAGCATCCTTTTGAACAATGATTATCTTTTGTTTTACATTTTCAATGTAATACAAGAACCTAACGTCCTAACCTAACGTCTGAAATTGTTATTTATCAAAAATCAAACAAAATTAGTGATTAATCAGAGGATAAACTCTCTTCATATTTTATGATACTTTATATACCAATATTTTCGGATCAATTCAAAGAGTTCTTTATAATCTTAACACGAGATTGTTTTATGTCGATCTTGATAAATTCTGTAGTTTTATTAAAGTTCATAAAGATAAAATACCGAAGTATTCATGTAAGTAACAATTGTACCACAATGTAATGTAACAATTTACTATAAAAAATCTGTGCAAGGATTGTGAAGCGCCTTATCTCAGTCAAACTAATGACAAAATAAAATGATTGAATTTCCAAATACTGAAACTACATAGAAATACCTCACAGTTCTCGGTCATATCGAATCACAAACTAAGATTTTAGACAGAGAATTTTTTTTTAAAAAACTAGTTTCTGAAACGTTATTTAGAAAGGAACAGAAAAATGGTCTGAATCTGCAGAATGATACGGAAAGATTGTACCATGCATTTGCAATAATAGTAGATAATTTACTGAAGATATAAGTTTGCTGCTTTTGTCCTTTACTCTGTTGTTTTTATGCTTATAAACCAACAGCCGAGGACAAGTTTATATATTAGTCATCATTAAGTCTGAAGTCACCATAGGATGCACATGTACAATATGTACACGTTCCGTATTATCAGAGCAATGCAGAAAAAAAGCAGGATCTGATGAGCCGTTCTCCTGATTATCTCTAAAATTGGATTTTCGCTTAATGACTAGCTGCATCCCTATCTATTACTAAATTTTTTTCCGTGTAATAATTCGCTGCGCAATCATATCTTTTCTTATTTTTGAGACATATGGATGTATCTGGACTTATCATTTATTAGAGTATTGTAATAACAGCATTGATATAATAATTAAAATTGTTTAATGTGTTTGCCAGATTATTGTGAAATACAATGTTGTAGTCTATTTACGTCAATTGCGGAATAATTAATATAATTTCATATGTTATTAGCCGATATTCTATAAAATAGCTCAATATTAATATCATGCTAATAATGGACCAAAAAATAATCTAAAACATTCGTATTTAATATATGTATTGTAACGAAAATAAGTATTTTGAAATATAGTAAGATATAACAGAAAAAAGATGTTTCCTCTTCTTTCTTTCGATCCAATTATTTCTTGACATTTACTTGCCAATATTTATTTTTCTAACTATTGTTATTAATTGATCCATTTTTTTTATTTTAATTTAGAGTCTATACAAGAATTCTATATACAGGGCGTTAATTTTAAACTTTGCATCCGTTTATTTAATGATTAACTATTTTTTGCGAAAAATGTCAAAAAACGTCAATTTTGTTTTCGAGGGAGACATTTAAGTACATTAAATACAACAAAATTTTTTCATCCCTTTCGTCAGGATAGCTTCAAAAATCCCTTCAAAAATTTTAAATAGGGGCATAACGAGACAAATAATTACGAACAGTATTAATATTTTTTTATCTGTGATATCATTTTGATACTGTTTGTCTTATTAGATTTATTCATATATAGAAATACGTTTCAGTACAGTACTTTATGATAATGATTGCGTTATATACAAAATTTATATAATGTGAATTTATTTTGTTTAAAACTGTTAAACTTTAAAAATGATATAATAACTTTGTTTAGGATTTATTCTTATAATATATTGTTAGGTA